CTCAGGTCTAACTAGTGTTTTTAGACAGAATTCTTCCTACGGGTAATGTACGCCCAAGGGCAACTAGCTTAAACTCCCCTTTTCCCAGAAACACACAAAGCTACCAAACAGGGTAATCAGCAACAAAGTAAGTACACAATACATAGGACACCACAGTATCCACACTCACATAAAGAAATAGATTCTAATAAAGTTACCAACAGGGTAACCAACAACTTAGTGAGTACACAACACACAGGACACCACCGTGTCCATACTCACATATGGAAAAAGTCTCTCTCTCTCTCTCAACAAACACAAGACTGGTTTTTATACAATGGAATGTGATTGAACAAACGAGTAACAGGTGGTGCAATGCACAGGAATGTTCACTGATTGGTCCAATCAGCAGACACCTCAACGACCACCAATCAGGAACATACAGGACACCTGTGATTAGGGCAGAAGGAGTAGAAACACACAAAAACACAGGATACCTGTATCCGTAACACTCCCACCCTTAAAAGAACAAACCACAATGGTTTGCGACACACGTACCATCACAACACCCAAAATTCCATAATCATCCTGCCGGGATAACAAAAAAAAACCTAGATCATTACACACGAGACAAAGCATCTGCCAACACATTATCCAACCCCTTTTTGTGGCAGATCTCCAAATTATAATTTTGCACGACAAGTGCCCAACGCATAAGGCGTTGGTTCTGGTTGTACATCCGGTGGAGAAAAACTAAGGGGTTATGGTCAGTATACACTATCACTGGTAATGCACTGGAACCAACATAAACTTCAAAGTGCTGCAGAGCTAACAACAAAGCTAGAGCTTCTTGTTCAATGGTGGAATAGTTTGTCTGACATTTGTTAAATTTCCGTGAAAAATAACAGACAGGATGGTCCACTCCACTCTGGTCCTGCTGCAGTAGAACAGCACCAGCACCTCTGGCACTTGCATCTACCTCCAGTTTAAACGGTCGTTCAAAATCTGGCGCAGCAAGAACAGGAGTACTACATAAGAGTGCTTTAGCAGTGTTGAAAGCAGTACAACAATCTTCAGACCATACAAATTTTCTCGCCGGACTGAGCAAATCCGTTAATGGAGCAACTACCGCAGAGAAATTTTTACAGAAACTACGGTAGTAGCCAACCATCCCTAAAAAACGGCGTAGCTCTCTTCTGGTGGTAGGTGCGGGAAATGCGTTTATAGCGGAGACCTTGGCATCTACAGGGCGCACCTGACCATGGCCGACCTGTTTACCAAGATAAGTAACAGTGGCCTTCCCAAACTCGCACTTTGCTAAGTTCAGGGTTAGAGAAGCGGTTGCTAGACGTTCACACACTACCCTTAGAGTGTTAACATGATCAGACCACTCAGTTGAATAAATTACCAGATCATCAAGGTAAGCACTACAATTAGGAACTCCAGCCAATACTGTGTTAACCAGGCGTTGGAAAGTGGCTGGTGCGTTCCGCATCCCAAATGCCATGACAGCATATTGTAGGAAGTGATCTGGGGTCACAAAGGCAGATATGTCGGAGGCACGTGGGGTTAACGGCACCTGCCAGTAACCTTTTAGAAGATCTAGTTTGGTTACATAAGTAGCAGCACCAACAGTATCAATACAGTCATCCAGTCTGGGTAACGGGAACGAGTCGGGCACTGTGACAGCATTGACTTTCCGATAGTCCGTAAATAATCTGGATGTCCCATCAGGTTTAGGAACCAGAATGCACGGAGAACTCCAAGGACTTGAACTTGGCATAGCCAGGTTATTCTCCAGCAAATAACCGACCTCACCCCTCATTATCTTTCTCTTAGCGACGTTGACACGATAAGCATGTTGCTTGATAGGTGCAGCGTTTCCGACATTAATGTCATGTTCTAACACATTTGTACATGTAGGAACATCATTAAAAAGACATGGAAAGCTGTGTAATAGTCTCACAATATCATCTGACTGTCTGTCCGTTAAATGAATCAGGCTTGACGGGAGAGACAGCAGCATCTCTGAATTGGGCAATCTAGCACACTGCTGCTGAGTATTGCGCAACTCCAAACCATCTCCGTCCACATCATTAACATGACCTCCCACTACAGCCGTAGCCGCAATAGAGACAGCCGACTCGGCCAGTTTCTCTGGACTGTCTACCTGAGTGACGGGTCTGGTGTGGTATGTCTTCAACATGTTAACGTGGCACACACGAGATTGGCGTTTTCTATCAGGAGTCTGTATCACATAGTCTGTTTCATCCGTTTCTGTGAGGAAGACAGCGCTTCCTTTGCTAGAGCACAGGCAGCATGTAGGCGCTCACGAAAGCGACTAACGTAGTCCAACACATTTTCTTTCACACACAACTCTTGTGACAAAAACTGATCCTTAAGGACTTTCATAGGTCCTCTCATGGTGTGTCCAAACACCAGTTCAGCTGGGCTGAACCCTAGGGATTCCTGTACTGTCTCACGGACAGCAAACAACACTAGAGGAACTCCCTCATCCCAATCTTTCTCAGATTCCAAGCAATATTTACGGAGCATAGACTTCAGGGTCTGATGCCAACGTTCAAGCGCACCCTGAGACTCTGGGTGATATGCGCTTGACACACGGTGTGTAACTGACAAGGATTTTAACACTTGTTTGAAAAGTTTAGAAAGGAAATTCGTACCCTGATCAGTTTGTATCACCTTAGGTAACCCAAAAGTTGAGAAGAATTTGATCAACGCTTTACTCACCACCGGAGCAGTAATCCTTCGCAGAGGAATGGCCTCTGGGTACCTGGTGGCCACACACATAATTGTCAACATAAACTGGTTACCAGATTTTGTTTTTGGTAATGGTCCAACACAATCAACCATCACATGTTCGAAGGGTTCACCTATGGCCGGTATGGGACAAAGAGGCGCGGGGGAAATAACCTGGTTCGGTTTCCCAGTTACTTGACAGGTGTGGCAAGTCCGACAGAACTGAGCCACATCTTGTCTTAAGCCAGGCCAAAAGAAATGTCGCCAAACACGATCATAAGTCTTGGTGACTCCCAGATGTCCGGACCACTGGTGATCATGAGCGAGGGATAAAACATTTTGTCGAAAGGCTGTAGGAATCACTATTTGGTAAACAGCATTCCAATCTCCGCCAGCGTCAACATGGGATGTCCATTTACGCATGAGGAGATTACCATCAATGAAGTATGCCATGTTTTTCTTCTTTAGCTCGTCCTCTGAGACAACACTAGAAAAACATTTAGCCAGGCTAATGTCAACCTGTTGGTTAGCGATCAGCTGCTCACGAGTAACTGGTAACTGTATTGCCTCAGCAACAAGTTCCACATCCTTCTTCCTTTCTCTGGGCTGTTGGTCAGACTGCACCAGCTTACCAGAGGTAGCACCCGAACTATCCTCTGGGTCACACTCTCTGAATAGAATCGTGTCTGACAAATCTACCACTTCACCCACTTGTCGTGCTTGAGCACGTGTGACAGCACAAGCGGGGAACACATCTGGATAACCCTGTGCCAGCTCCTCGGAGAGAGACTGGTCACTTTTATCCAATACCTCCAATATGGGTATTACCTTTCCTCCGGCAATATCGTTGCCCATTATAAATGTCACACCTTTTACTGGCAACATTGGACGTACGCCAACTCTGAACAATCCACTGACTAACTCAGAGTGTACGTTCACAAAGTGTTCGTTTACAAAAAAAACAGGTAGTTACAGCTGCCAAGCTCAACACTGAACCAGACACTAACTAATTTACATGAGTAGCATGGGATAGATCCCGGACGAACCCCCACTTTATGTTACGAACCCCGTGGCTCTAAACGTCTAGGGTGGATGGACATGAGACCCGTAACATAAATTATGCAAATTATAAGTGTGACCTGGAACAGTGAGAACCAAAAATGACACAACAACCATGAACTACCGTCAAACATAAATGGTTTATTACTAAACACACGGTAAAGGTTTGGGAAAAAGGGCTGAGCAGGACCCAAGAAATGAAACAATAGTGTAAAACCCCCTAAACTGATCTAGCCTGCCTGAAGAACCGCTAGACTACTGCTAGTCATACAAAAGTACAGTGGGTGGTCCGCTCAGGTCTAACTAGTGTTTTTAGACAGAATTCTTCCTACGGGTAATGTACGCCCAAGGGCAACTAGCTTAAACTCCCCTTTTCCCAGAAACACACAAAGCTACCAAACAGGGTAATCAGCAACAAAGTAAGTACACAATACATAGGACACCACAGTATCCACACTCACATAAAGAAATAGATTCTAATAAAGTTACCAACAGGGTAACCAACAACTTAGTGAGTACACAACACACAGGACACCACCGTGTCCATACTCACATATGGAAAAAGTCTCTCTCTCTCTCAACAAACACAAGACTGGTTTTTATACAATGGAATGTGATTGAACAAACGAGTAACAGGTGGTGCAATGCACAGGAATGTTCACTGATTGGTCCAATCAGCAGACACCTCAACGACCACCAATCAGGAACATACAGGACACCTGTGATTAGGGCAGAAGGAGTAGAAACACACAAAAACACAGGATACCTGTATCCGTAACAGTATCTATGTTTCTAACATGTTGTGGTTGTTCTCTCAGTATAGTATCTATGTTTCTAACATGTTGTGGTGGTTCTCTCAGTATAGTGTCTATGTTTCTAACATGTTGTGGTGGTTCTCTCAGTATAGTATTTATGTTTCTAACATGTTGTGGTGGTTCTCTCAGTATAGTATCTATGTTTCTAACATGTTGTGGTTGTTCTCTCAGTATAGTATCTATGTTTCTAACATGTTGTGGTGGTTCTCTCAGTATAGTATTTATGTTTCTAACATGTTGTGGTGGTTCTCTCAGTATAGTATTTATGTTTCTAACATGTTGTGGTGGTTCTCTCAGTATAGTATCTATGTTTCTAACATGTTGTGGTGGTTCTCTCAGTATAGTATCTATGTTTCTAACATGTTGTGGTTGTGTGTGTTACTTCAGGAGAAGTCCAGGGTGAGCTTCCTGATGGTGGACAGTGCTGGCACGGAGGACAAGCCCTTAAAGATCCCCAAGGAGGTGTGGCTGCTGGTGAACCACCTCTTTACCCAGTCCTGCCAGCAGGTGAGAGGATAGTTAGGGGGAAATGTTCAAAGCACTATTATTTCTAGGTTGTACGGCATTAGAGTATGCTTTTAATCTCAATTATGAAGATTCTCAAATGCTGTTGCAATAAATTTGAATGATTTTCAGAATGAGGTATTTCTTCGAGGGGTAACCTTGGTTAACCTGGAATCCAAACGGATTATCACTCCATTTCACTATTGTTACTTCTGTTGGACAGAGCAAAACAGCGCAAAATTCAGTTTGCTTTCCAGGCTAACCCTTCTAGGCAGTATTCTAGACTTAGTCTCTCAGCCTGTAAATAGTATTCTACCCTACCCTTATTACAATGTCATTTCAAAATGATATTCTCCTGTAAACTCCTTGCCGCTCTTCCAGGAGGACCTGTTCCAGACACCGGGCCTGCAGGAGGAGCTGCAGAGTATCATCGACTGCCTGGACACCAGCATTCCTGACTCCATCCGTATCCTCACTCATATGTCCCCAGTCGTTCCTGACTCCATCCGTAATCCTCACTCATATGTCCCCAGTCGTTCCTGAGTCCATCCGTAATCCTCACTCATATGTCCCCAGTCATTCCTGACTCCATCCGTAATCCTCACTCATATGTCCCCAGTCATTCCAAACCCCCTGGCACATATCCACTAGTAGGCCCAGCCCTGTAACAGGACACTGTGACTGAGATGCCACACAGTTAGATGGGTCCCTGCGATAAAGCGGCTGCTATACACAGACTGCTGCCAAGGCATGTGCTGGTAGCATTAGGGTGAGCTACATCCACCACATGCGCTACATAGATTAGCAGTGTGGCTGAAGTATGATATCTGTGGTAGTTGGGGTTTACGGTGTGCAAACTTCCTGTCCATACGTATGCTCATGCATCAACACACACACAACCAGCTTGTTTGAGGGGATCAGTTTGAACTGATTGCTAATCTTCATCACATAATGAGTAGCTATTTAGGATTCAAGGTGATTTGTAGATCAGTGATTCTGCGCAGTATGACAGCAATGTAGTCAAGTTCAAACACGCACACCCACCCTCGGCCACAAATCTGTGTTCCCCCGACTGTGTTCCCCCGACTGTGTTCCTGACTGTTCCTTGACTGTGTGTGTCAGCTGGTTGTAACCACTCGGTGGCTGAGGCCCTGTTGATATTTCTGGAAGCTCTGCCTGAGCCAGTGGTGTGTTACGAACTCTACCAGCGCAGCCTGGACTGCTCCCATGACAGCCGCCTCTGCAAACAGGTGCAGTGAATTGAATTACGATTTTAGGGTGGCCTAACGTTAAATATTTCCACATAAAAATCAATTTAAATGAATCTGGAAATGGAGATGAGTAGGAGTCATTGACTTCTGTTGAATCGATAAAGTTCATGTGTATGATCATTGCATACCATAAGACATAGTTTGTCCTCTAGGCTCTACAAGGGTCTGGTTGGGGTTGTCATCTGTCTTTTCTCTGGGCTGTTTTGGCAGTTGATCTCCCAGCTGCCCCGGGCTCACCGCAACGTGTTCCGCTACTTGATGGCGTTCCTCAAGGAGCTGCTGAAATACGCCCACAACAACAACCTCACTGCCAGCCTCATAGGTCAGTTCCCCATGGCCACATGCTCTCTAACCTACATGTGCTTTTTCAGTAGGGTACACTGCAGCAAAGCGTTATGCAACGGAATGCAAATATCTGTGTTCTTATTGGATATAGTAGTATGTCCCCGCTTCACTCCATTTCAAAACATATCTTCCCTACTGAAAATTACCCTGATTTTAGGGTCAATACTATTCAGGAAATGAAATTCCCAAGCCTAGAATTGAAAAATGTCATTTATTTTCAGTAACGTTAATAAAACCATTTAACTGGAACTTCAATTCACTGAATCCTGAATGAATTGAAATGAAACGGATCTAAACCCCTGTTTTGAAATGCCTCTGTTTTTCACATCTTCCTCTACCTCTCTCTCCTCCACTGTGCCCATGCCAGCTACCCTCTTTGCCAGCCTGCTCATCCGGCCCCCGCCCAACATGGTGGGCCGACAGACCCCGCAGGACCGACAGAGAGCCATCGACTTCATCCTGGGCTTCCTCATGGGAGGGGACGAGGAGTGAGGGTTCAGGGGTCAGACAGCCTGGACCTTTTGATGACAGACTGAGGAATGGGCTTTTGGTGGACACAAGGCGTATGTATGTGTGTGGGAGAACGAACAGAGCAATTATATGGGACCCTCTCTTTTATCAGACTCTTATCAATGCCCCTGCCCCCAGCCTTTGTAGTGCTGTACTTCAGTCACTCACAACCGTCACCATTGACCAAGTCCCATAGTTTTCACCTCTGGCCATAGTGTGGCTGCAGGACCAGGAGTTTAGGTGTTGGCAGCTTGGAGTGAAAGTGAACAGTCAACTGACTGACGCCCCTCTCCCCAGGTGACCCCCATGCCCCATTCAACCCCCATGCCCCATTCAACCCCCACTGAGGGCTGTTCCGTGCCCCATTCAACCCCCACTGAAGGCTGTTCCGTGCCCCATTCAACCCCCCACTGAGGGCTGTTCCATGCCCCATTCAACCCAATGGAAGTATGAAATGTATGTATGAACCCATAGATACTAAGATAATGATGATCCGTTAGTCCGTTACACTAACGATACACATAGAGGGTCGTCCAGAAGATTTGGATCGCATTCTACCTGGCGGATACTCCTCTGAGTGAACTATTACCTGACGGATACTCCTCTCAGAGTGAACTATTACCTGACGGATACTCCTCTCAGAGTAAACTATTACCTGACGGATACTCCTCTCAGAGTGAACTATTACCTGACGGATACTCCTCTCAGAGTGAACTATTACCTGGCGGATACTCCTCTCAGAGTGAACTATTACCTGACGGATACTCCTCTCAGAGTGAACTATTACCTGACGGATACTCCTCTCAGAGTGAACTATTACCTGACGGATACTCCTCTCAGAGTGAACTATTACCTGGCGGATACTCCTCTCAGAGTGAACTATTCAAACCATGGGTACATAGTGATATTGGACGCAAGAGACTTCTGGTGAACACAGAGACACTGAATGAATTCCGATCAAGGAAGATTGACGTTCTTCTACAAGATAATGATGACAATCAGGAGCAGTTCTTTCTGGGATACATATTGGGAGATGTGTTAGAACTGTCAGTGGGCTGGAGTTTAAACTAATGTTATATATATTTTTTCCTTACATAACTTTGTACCATCTTTAGAGTTTATTTCATCTTCATACTTATTTTAAGAGACCACATTTTGGATATTGTTTGACCGCCCATGGTTGTTCAAACCCACCTTTTGCTTCTGGCATACTGAAACACGTGTTGTTCAATATCAGTGAAGGTGTGTTGTGATTGTGTGTACAGTGCCTTGCAAAAGTATTCATCCCCCTTGGCGTTTTTCCTATTTTGTTGCATTACAACCTGTAATTTAAATGGATTTTTATTTGGATTTCATAATGGACATACAGAAAATAGTCCAAATTGGTGAAGTGAAATGAAAAAAATAACCAAGCAAGCAGCACCATGAAGACCAAGGAGCTCTCCAAACAGGTCAGGGATAAAGTTGTGGAGAAGTACAGATCAGGGTTGGGTTATAAAAAAATATCAGAAACTTTCAACATCCCACGGAGCACCATTAAATACATTATTAAAAAATTGAAAGAATATGGCACCACAACAAACCTGCGAAGAGAGGGCTGCCCACCAAAACTCACGGACCAGGCAAGGAGGGCATTAATCAGAGAGGCAACAAAGAGACCAAAGATAACCCTGAAGGAGCTGCAAAGCTCCACAGCGGAGATTGGAGTATCTGTCTATAGGACCACTTTAAGCCGTACACTCCACAGAGCTGGGCTTTACGGAAGAGTGGCCAGAGAAAAGCAAACACGTTTGGTGTTCGCCAAAAGGCATGTGGGAGACTCCCCAAACATATGGAAGAAGGTACTCTGGTCAGATGAGACTAAAATTGAGGTTTTTGGCCATCAAGGAAAACACTATGTCTGGCGCAAACCCAACACTTCTCATCACCCGAGAACAAGAATGGGCAAAAATCCCAGTGGCTAGATGTGCCAAGCTTATAGAGACATACCCCAAGAGACTTGCAGCTGTAATTGCCGCAAAAGTCAATACTCTACAAAGTATTGACTTTGGTGGGGTGAATAGTTATGCACACTCAAGTTTTCTTTCTTTTTTCTTATTTCTTGTTTGTTTCACAATAAAAAATGTTTTTGCATCTTCAAAGTGGTAGGCATGTTGTGTAAATCAAATGATACAAACCCCCCAAAAAATCAATTTTAATTCCAGGTTTAAGGCAACAAAATAGGAAAAATGCCAAGGGGGGTGAATACTTTCGCAAGCCACTGTAACTTAATCTTGAGCCTTATCGTGAGTTTGGCTGATTTCTCCATTCAAGTACATTACAACTCTGAACCCAAGTCACACTAACTTCACAATAGAGTGATCAGTCAACACTCCTGCATTTATATGCTATTCTACGGGCCAGTTTCTCAGACCCAGATTCATCTTATTGGAGATTAACTTTCTCTATTGAGCATGCTTTTTTAGTTCAAGTGGTTCAATGTGGTTGTCTCACCCAGCTATCTTAAGATGAATGCACTAATTGTAAGTCGCTCTGGATAAGAGTGTCTGCTAAATGACTAAAATGAGTAGGCTTTTAATCTGAGTCCGTAAACCGTCCCTACAGTGTGTGTGTTACATAACAAGGACAAACCCACTACAGTATCGATGTCTTAACTGTTGTAAACAGTCCCTCTCCTGTCCCCATTGACCTCCTGTGGGTGTTTGACTCTGTTGTCACCTCTTACTATGGTGCTGCAAACTGTCTTCAATATGTATGTGCTGTTTGTTGGTCATGCAGGTGGTACCATCGTTTAAAGTTTCCTCATGCTTGTTTATAATTTCTTGCCTCGCTGTTTGCCTTCATACTGGTTAGAGCCTCATTGTATTGGGCCTGTGTGCTCAGGCAAGGGCCTTTGTTGTCACTGTCTCCGTCAGTCGATTCAGACAATATAATGCCCTGTTTTGCTGTCTGAGGTGCATCTAAAGTAGCACCCTATTCCCTATATAATGCACTACTTTTGACCAGAGAGCGCTGGTCAAAAGTAGTGCGTTATATAGGGAATAGGGTGCCATTTCGGATGCACCCTAATACTTTTTTTCAGTGACAAAGCATTTTTTACAGTGCAGGTTGAACAGGATTTAGTAGTTCATTACTCTCCGCTGAGACGAAACCGGTTTGCCACAGAGGAAATGTTTTTTTTCCCGCTGTCGTGGAACATGTTATGGTTAATGAAACGAGGAACTCCAATGCTGTGCCATTTCCCTTTGTTTTCCACACTGTCGTCTAGTAACGTTAGTAATAACGCGTCAAAACAGCTCCTGGCTGGCCTGTTGTGTGTCATGGTTGGTCTATGACACTCGTTTCCACTTTCCACTGGAAACGTTTCCCTGTCTTATGTCTCCAGTCAACTAATCTAGCCAGAAACGCCTGTTACTTAGTCAACAGACACGTAAGGACGAGCCTGGTTCCATACACTGTGCTGTAGCAAACCCCTCTATGGTGGTCATGCCACATGTAAGGTGTGACAGCATTGAAGATTTGCCAACACCATACACAGTATAGAACCAGGCTACTATAGGCCCAGGCTACTACAGAACCAGGCTACTATAGGTCCAGGCTACTACAGAACCAGGCTACTATAGGTCCAGGCTACTACAGAACCAGGCTACTACAGGTCCAGGCTACTACAGGTCCAGGCTACTACAGAAAATGCATTCAAAGTTTTAAACAGTGTTTTAACGTTACATAATCTCATCATTTACACACTGACAGGCTGTTAATCAAAGCACTTAACGGTTTGGTTGTCTCTCTGTCAGCTCTCACCCAGAGAGGAGTTTGAGTGGAGTTGGCCCAAGTCTTGTGTAACTTCCTGTGCCTCACTGCAATCATCCGTACAGTACATTCCTAAAATGGGCCAGACGCGCTCGTAGTATTCTTCAGAGTTCTTTGCTTAGCTTTGCCAAACCATGACTAGCCCTGGATTGATTGGTCCTTCCTGTTGTCTCGGACTCTAACCAAGGAGGAACAGTGAATCTGAGATTGTCATCTCATTCACAACACAAAGATTTTACATCAGAGAGAAGGCCAACCCCAGCTGAAGAGATATTGTCAGAATTTAATAGTCAAATTGGGAGATATTGTCCTAGCTGTCTCTTCATCTGTGGTCTGTCTGTGTTTTCAAGTGCTGTCTTTTCCTGCTCTGCTCTCCTTCATACCTTGGGTTTTGTAATGGTCTGTCTAGTAATAATGGTACATATGCAAAGGAAAACTTGCACACCTGTTTTTGGTACTTTTAATTTATTTAACGGAAATAAAATAATGTATGAAAAACACACTTTGTATCTAACCTCTTTATTGGTGTACCCAGATGTTCACAGGTGAAACCCTCAATAGGTCCAGCTGTTTGAGCACACAGCCCTTTGGGAATCTTTTCTATCCTGTAAAAAACAATATGGTGACAGACTTACTATGGCTGACTTGTCTGCTCCATGTGAAATGTCCAGCTGCTGACGCTAACCCCTGTGGTTAGACCAGTCAGTGGGCCGTGAGAGATCCATCGCCTGGATGCAACATCCCCCCTCTTCTCCATGTATAAAGCCCTCAACCTGGACTCACTATCATCCGTTTGCCTGTGTTAGTTACTGTAGCCCCAGCCTGCAGTACCTGTCCCAGTCCCAGGACCAACCATGGCCATGCTGAGAGTGTCGTCCTACCGCCGGCAGTTTGAGGAGGAGTTGGAATGGAGGGTCCAACAGAGGTTGTGGAGGGCAGTACCGCTCCTCGGCAGTCAAGGCCAGGTCAGTGTGTGGATTGTTGGTAGCCCGCTCACCTCTACATGGATTAGAGGGCCTGGGTCCTGTTCAGTAGGGGGGAAAGAATTTAAAAACACTGAAACGTGGAGGTACTACCTTGTCCAATAATAAGACTTGTTTTCTGTTGCAAAATGTGTTGCTATGGTGAGCCCTACTGAACATGACCCTTAACATACGGACCACAGGAGATGATCTGTATGGAGATCACTGTGCACCGAGGATGGTTTACTACAGGGTTTCTCAACCTTTTTTTCTACCAGAGGCTGGCAAGCTTCTTGGGGGACCTCTTCCATTAAACTAGAATGTATCAGACAACCCTCTGAAGGACCGGGCAGCAATATCCCAGGGACCGTTGCTGGTCCAGTTGCCAGAGGTTGAGTGACACTGGTTTACTACATTTACATTTTACATTTATTTAGCAGACACTCTTATCCAGAGCGACTTACAAATTGGTGCATTCAACTTATGATAGCCAGTGGGACAACAACCTTTTTTTAAATTAATTTTTTATGGGGGGTGGGGGAAGAAGGATTACTTTATACTATTCCAGGTATTCCTTAAAGAGGTAGGGTTTCAAGTGTCTCCGGAAGGTGGTCAGTGACTCCGCTGTCCTGGCGTCGTGGGGGAGCTTGTTCCACCATTGGGGTGCCAGAGCAGCGAATAGCTTTGACTGGGCTGAGCGGGACCTGTGCTTCCGTAGAGGTAGGGGAGCTAGCAGGCCAGAGGTGGATGAACGTAGTGCCCTCGTTTGGGTGTAGGGTCTGATCAGAGCCTGAAGTTAAGGAGGTGCCGTTCCCCTCACAGCTCCGTAGGCAAGCACCATGGTCTTGTAGTAGATGCGAGCCTCAACTGGAAGCCAGTGGAGTGTGCGGAGGAGCGGGGTGACATGAGAGAACTTGGGAAGGTTGAACACCAGACGGGCTGCAGCGTTCTGGATAAGTTGTAGGGGTTTAATGGCACAGGCAGGGAGCCCAGCCAACAGCGAGTTGCAGTAATCCAGACGGGAGATGACAAGTGCCTGGATTAGGACCTGTGCCGCTTTCTGTGTAAGGTAGGGTTGTACTCTGCGAATGTTGTAGAGCATGAACCTGCAGGATCGGGTCACCGCTTTGATGTTCGCAGAGAATGACAGGGTGTTGTCCAGGGTCACGCCAAGGTTCTTTGCACTCTGGGAGGAGGACACAATGGAGTTGTCAACCGTGATGGCGAGATCATGGAGCGGGCAGTCCTTCCCCGGGAGGAAGAGCAGCTCCGTCTTGCCGAGGTTCAGCTTGAGGTGGTGATCCAACATCCACACTGATATGTCTGCCAGACATGCAGAGATGCGATTCGCCACCTGGTTATCAGAAGGGGGAAAGGAGAAAATTAATTGTGTGTCGTCTGCGTAGCAATAGGAGAGAACATGTGAGGATATGACAGAGCCAAGTGACTTGGTGTATAGAGAGAATAGGAGAGGGCCTAGAACTGAGCCCTGGGGGACACCAGGGGTGAGAGCACGTGGTGCGGAGACAGATTCTCGCCACACCACCTGGTAGGAGCGACCTGTCAGGCAGGACGCAATCCAAGAGTGAGCAGCACCGGAGATGCCCAACTCGGAGAGGGTGGAGAGGAGGATCTGATGGTTCACAGTTTTAAAGGCAGCGGATAGGTCTAGAAGGATAAGAGCAGAGGAGAGAGAGTTAGCTTTAGCAGTGCGGAGAGCCTCCGTGACACAGAGAAGAGCAGTCTCAGTTGAATAACCAGTCTTGAAACCTGACTGGTTTGGATCAAGAAGGTAATTCTGAGAGAGATAGCAGGAGAGTTGGCTAGAGACGGCATGCTCAAGAGTTTTGGAGAGAAAAGAAAGAAGGGATACTGGTCTGTAGTTGTTGACATCGGAGGGATCGAGTGTAGGTTTTTTGAGGAGGGGTGCAACTCTTGCTCTCTTGAAGACGGAAGGGACATGGCCAGCGGTCAAGGATGAGTTGATGAGCGAAGTGAGGTAAGGGAGAAGGTCTCCGGAAATGGTCTGGAGAAGAGAGGAGGGGATAGGGTCAAGCAGGCAGGTTGTTGGGCGGCCGGCCGTCACAAGTCGCAAGATTTCATCTGGAGAGAGAGGGGAGAAAGGAGTCAAAGCAAAGGGTAGGGCAGTGTGAGCAGGACCAGCGGTGTCATTTGACTTAATAAATGAGGATCAGATGTCGTCAACCTTCTTTTCAAAATGGTTGACGAAGTCATCCACAGAGAGAGAGGAGGGAGGGGGAGGAGGAGGAGGATTCAGCAGGGAGGAGAAGGTGGCCTAGGGTTAGAGGCAGAGGCTTGAAATTTAGAGTGGTAGAAAGTGGCTTTAGCAGCGGAAACAGAGGAAGAGAATGAAGAGAGGAGGGAGTGAAAAGATGACAGGTCCGCAGGGAGTCTAGTTTTCCTCGGCTGCCCGGAGCCCTCTTCTGTGAGCTCGCAATGAGTCGTCAAGCCACGGAACAGGAGGGGAGGACTGAGCCGGCCGGGAGGATAGGGGACATAGAGAGTCAAAAAGATGCAGAAAGGGAGGAGAGGAGGGTTGAGGAGGCAGAATCAGGAGATCGGAGGGAGAAGGATTTAGCAGAGGGAAGAGATGATAGGATGGAAGAGGAGAGAGTAGCGGGAGAGAGAGAGCGAAGGTTGCGACGGCACATTACCATCTGAGTAGGGGCAGAGTGAGTAGTGTTGGAGGAGAGCGAGAGAGAAAAGGATACAAAGTAATGGTCGGAGACTTGGAGGGGAGTTGCAGTGAGATTAGTAGAAGAACAGCATCTAGTAAAGATGAGGTCAAGCGTATTGCCTGCCTTGTGAGTAGGGGGGGACGGTGAGAGGGTGAGGTCAAAAGAGGAAAGGAGAGGAAAGAAAGAGGCAGAGAGAAATGAGTCAAAGGCAGACGTAGGGAGGTTAAAGTCCCCCAGAACTGTGAGGGGTGAGCCATCCTCAGGAAAGGAACTTATCAAGGCGTCAAGCTTATTGATGAACTCTCCAAGGGAACCTGGAGGGCGATAAATGACAAGGATGTTAAGCTTGAATGGGCTAGTGACTGTGACAGCATGCAATTCAAATGAGGAGATAGACAGATGGATCAGGGGAAAAAGAGAGAATGTCCACTTGGGAGAGATGAGGATTCCTGTGCCACCGCCGCGCTGACCAGATGCTCTTGGGGTATGCGAGAACACATAGTCAGACAAGGAAATAGCAGTAGGAGTAGCAGTGTTTTCTGTGGTAATCCATGTTTCCGTCAGCGCCAAGAAGTCGAGGGACTGGAGGGTATCATAGGCTGAGATTAACTCTGCCTTGTTGGCCGCAGAACGTCAGTTCCAGAGGCTGCCGGAGACCTGGAACTCCACGTGGGTCATGTGCGCAGGGACCACCAGATTAGAGTGGCAGCAGCCACGTGGTGTGAAGCGTTTGTATGGCCTGTGCAGAGAGGAGAGAACAGGGATAGACAGACACATAGTTGACAGGCTACAGAAAAAGGCTACAATAATACAAAGGAGATCAGAATGAAATGAACTAAACATCTGGGAAAGCGAGAGAGCGGGGCCTCCCTCACTTACGTTTCACTGAAACACTCAAATATAACTCTCCCAACTTCCACTTTAGAAATTATAATTGTTATAAACTACAGCGGTTCAATGTTTTCTAGGAATAGACTCTAACTTAGTTTATTCAGCTAGCTAACTTGGTACTTCCGTGAAAACCATCCAGGGCACCGAATCCTATGATGCCATAGCCAACTAGCATGCCAGCCTCCAATAACACGGTTTAGCACCAATACTCGGTTACAACAAACCACCAGTGTGTTAACACGCCAAGCAGATCATTCGTGTCCGTGTCTAACGTTGTGTAAAGTTTTGGGTTAGTTTTGACAGTTTGAGTGAGTACGTCGTCAATTTATTCAGCCAGTTAGTTAGCTAGAATAGTTAGCATACTAGCTAGCCATTGCTCTCTGCCAACGAACCAACCCCTCCTCCCACGACACGAAACACAGAGAGAGCCAAGCTAACGTTAACTAGTCACCCATGTCCTGAATTCCCTTGAACGACTCTGGTTACCAGTATGTAAAAACAAAACAAAAATAAATGTAGGTTATAACTTACCCTTAGTAGCTACTGTTAGCCAGTTAAGTGCAAAGCTAACCACTGATTTAGCCAGTTCGCGTCTGTCCCAACGGAGAGAAAGCGTCTCCAAATATTACAGCTAGGTCGTTCCAGCTATTGTTTAGTTAGCTATCCAGGTAGCAACAAGCTAGCTACATTTCAAGTAATAGTAGCTACTAACTACTATTATTCTACAATGTAAAAAATAAAGAAAAACCATTGAATGAGTAGGTGTGTCCAAACCTTTGACTGGTACTGTATATACACTAGATCAATGGTTCCCAACCATACTAGTGTCACGACTTCCGCCGAGGCTGCCCCCCCTCCTGGTTCGGGCATGCTTCGGCGTTCGTCGTCACCGGAGTCCTAGCTACTGCCGATTCCTTTCTCATCACTCCACTTGTCATGTCTTGTCAGTCACACACACCTGGTGCTCATTCCCCTAATTAGTATGTGTATAAGTGTTCCCTCTGTTCCCCTTGTCTTTGTGAGTGATTGTTTGTTGTGAGAGCGTGTAGCTCGGTTGAGCTACTATTCACTGTGTTTATGCCAATGTGGATGTTTTCCCTTGTAATAGTTTCGTTTTACGCTTTGGGCGTTTTAATTATGTAAACGGAATAAACTCTGGACTTCGGTGTTTTACCTCCTGCGCCTGACTCCTTCATTCACACCTCGTCACAACTAGGAGGAGGCTAAGGGGTTAAATCTTCTGTTTGTATTGTGTTGTGCAAACTTGAGATTGGTTGAGACATACAGTACTTGTAAGGACAATGCTTTATGGTAATTTGTCAGTCGTGGCCAATTGTGATGAGTTTCAGAGTTCAACAAAGTTTGAGTTATGACAGATGTTTGTTTTCTTTCACTCAAGTATGTCTGAATAAGCTTATTTAATCAGAAGCAAATGTGCGGTAGCTTTGCACGATTTCCATATGCAGTATAGCGTGTCACTCAGTTGGCCATTGCATGTTTCGCATTAGTTACGCCTTGTCTGTCCCAAGGGAAAAGTTTGAAGGGTGATGACAAACGCCTTTTGCATTTGTGTCAAACAATGACATCATGTTACCTCTGGCGGTGTTAATTTGCACAGAGCTGATTTGGGAGGGGCAGCAATGCTATTAATTCAAGACACTTCAGAGATTGCGATCTTGTGGCCCTTGATGGCGCCCTGCTTTGAGGAGGACAATGACTCTCTGGAGGCCCAGATCTGTGAGCTGGAGGAGAGGCTGGCTGGCCAACAGACCACCTCCACTTCTGACTTTATTGAAGTAAAGCAGTGCTTGGCCACTCCCTAAGCTATTCTCTTTGCTTTTCAGCTCGTTCAAGCACAGCATGACTACCTCTAGGAGCGCAACCATCAAATCATGCATATCATGACTCTTCTCCCAGTTCTTAATAAGCTTGTCCCTAAACTCATTACCCTTCCCCTCATCATGTTGGAATATGGCAATGATCAACTCTTCCAGTTTGGTCTGTCGTTCTGCATCACTGCACAGTCTGCTGCCGCCACTGCAGGAGATGACCTGGCTAGCCACACATTCAGAGACACAGCAGAGCTGACCGTCCGCATGGCCAGAGGGTATTTCTGGGATATTACAGCAGAGACATCCCTCATCTGAGACCCTACCTCACCAAAACTTTGCAAGGCTCACTAGGAGCTAGGAAACCTGTATGTTGTTTACGGTGGTTAGCTCCCACCATGACATATATAATGAGTGGACTTAAAGTAGTGTTTGTGTATATGTGTGTGTGTGTGTGTGTGTGTGTGTGTGTGTGTGTGTGTGTGTGTGTGTGTGTGTGTGTGTGTGTGTGTGTGTGTGTGTGTGTGTGTGTGTGTGTGAATATGAGTTAGTATGTATCGGTGTGCGCATGTGTGTCTGTATGTATAGCCACTGGTGTAAATGGATGGATAGCCGCTGTCACAGACCATTCCCACTACTTACCAGTACCAGACTGATAAGCCACTGTGTGTCCAGGACCAGAGCCTGTGTGACGTGGAGGAGCTGAGGAGAGAGCTGGACTATCTGCAGGAGCAGTATGAGGAGACCGTCCAGCAGAGGACACTCATCCAACTGGAGCGGGAGGACGGTAATGACCTCACTTCCTGTTCCTCTGGTGGCCATTTTGGTGTTATTGTTTAGTAATTTTGATTTGGTATCTTTGTTTGTAATGTATTCTCTAACAATGAGTAGACTTTTAATGTGTGCTACTGTTATAGAACATGCATAAAGACATAGATCTAACTTGTGGTAGCTCAACTTTTATACCCATTTTTCACCTGCAGTGAAGGACGATCATCTTCAAAATATTTTTTTTTTGCAAACAGGCAAAGAAGGGTGGAAAGAAAGATTAATTATCTAAATATTCAAGGAGGGCCAATATCTCTTTGGGAGCATTAATGCAACTGTACTAAACTATAATAACCACTAGATGGCAGTATTGGCATGACTTGCCAACACTGTTTTATCCTCTCCTATTAAACCCCATTTCATCTCAGCATAGCCCAGCAGCTCCTCTGTAGCTCTATAGTGCTCTACCCACTCTGTTCAACTGATCATCAGTCGTACAATCTGGGCCGGCAGCCACAACGCAACCTGAGAACCCCAGTCTTAACAAACCCTACTATCCGATTCCCTCTAATTCCATTCCTGCCTGCCACATCACACGTCACAGCCCCTCTCCACTGCCAGCCCAGATGTTGGAGAAGCTGTTTCCATGTCTCCTTATTGAGTCATTCAGGCTTTAATTTATCCCATATAGATGTAATACAGATGGTAATGTAGTCGGTGCAGTAATGCGGCTGGCTGGCTGGCTCAGCCTCTGGCTCCGATTGGAAAGCAGCTGGAGTGTGGAGAGAGACTAGAGCCGGTGACGGACACAGGCAGGGAGGGGAGAGGAGAAAAGAGATTTGAATGTGATTGTGAACCAGTGTTGGAAGCAGCTCCTCGAGAGGAGGCTACAGTCTTTCTCAGCAGACAGGTGACAGACAGGCAGACAGGCAGGCAGGCAGGCAGGCAGGCAGGCAGGCAGGCATTGGAAGAGGCTAAACAAGGCATTGCTGGATATTTGAAGTCCAGCCTTGCCATTAGCTATTGATTAAGCCTGTTTGTAATTTCTGCTAAAGCTGCCCACATCTTGGACAACCTCCATGGTCGGTCTGTCTGTCTGTCAGCCAATTCTCTGAGTGTTCTATTGAGCTTGTATCTGGGGTTGAGGCTGTTTTAGTGGATGGTGTATGGATACAGTGTTTGTATCTGGGGCTGAGGCTGTTTTAGTGGATGGTAGATGGATTCAGTGTTTGTATCTGGGGCTGAGGCTGTTTTAGTGGATGGTAGATGGATTCAGTGTTTGTATCTGGGGTTGAGGCTGTTTTAGTGGAGGGTGTATGGATACAGTGTTTGTATCTGGGGCTGAAGCTGTTTTAGTAGATGGTAGATGGATTCAGTGTTTGTATCTGGGGCTGAGGCTTTTAGTGGATGGTGTATGGATACAGTGTTTGTATCTGGGGCTGAGGCTGTTTTAGTGGATGGTAGATGGATTCAGTGTTTGTATCTGGGGCTGAGGCTGTTTTAGTGGATGGATATAGTGTTTGGTTCAGTAGCAACAATGTGTTGAAGGCTCCCACAAAGGCTTCCCACAGTGGAAGAAGGCTGGAGGAGCTAGCTGATTCTCATCCAAATCCAAAGCAGAAGACGGTGCTATAAAGCACAGCTAGCCTGAAGCGATGGATGGAGAAGAAGAGAGGAGAGGAGAAGGGTGATCTAGGGGGATTTCTTTAGTCTTTACAGTCCATAGACTGTGAGCGCAAAACTCTCTCCAATTTACGGCCTCATGTTTGCCCAGAGATAACAGCAACAGACCGCCTGCCTCTTGTGCGACATCCATCAGGGCCCCATGTGTTCCAGCAGCCACAGCAGAAAGGTTCCCACCCCTGGACCTTACTCGTTTTTCATGTAGATGTAAATGCTAGCACCAGGAGTAATTGAATTCATCACCAATTAATCAGGCACTTAAAAAGGGCTGGATGAGCTAAAAGCTAATTAGCCCTTTCCATCCCCCCCTATTCTCAGTATTGCGGTGTCTAGCTAGCTACCTGCTGGTTGAGGGAATAGAGTGTGTCATGGTACTACCCTAGCCCCTTCTACCTACCCCTTACCCCCTAGGGACTCATGTAGATATTAAAGGATTGGATTGGTGTAAGCCAGTGAAGGGGATCATATTTTTGTTTTTGCCTAGCACCAACACACCTGATTAAACTAAAGGCTTAATGACGAGTTGATTAGTTGAATCAAGCTTGGTAAATACTAGTGTAAGCAATATTGTGAAAATGCCATCTAGCCTATCAGAAGACAAGCTGAAGCTTTCAACATATTGTTAACACCTATCCAATCTCCTGAGATCTAAACAAGTGCATAGGGGGTAGGGACTAAGGGTTTATTTGGAACAACAAATAGTGTTTGTGGTTTTCTTATGAGCACTGTTGGTTTTCTATTGATCTGGCTCTCTGCTGCCCCCTGTAGGAAGTGGATGTAGTGACGGCAGACTGTCTGGCCCTGAGGGAGCAGGTGAAATTCTACCAGGAACAACTGGCTCACATAGAGGCACAGCATGAGACGGTAAGAGAGAAGGGACATCTCAGAGAGGGGACTGGCTGGATGGCCAACATCAATTACCCACAGTATTAGTACACAAAGTAGGAACAGTTTACTACTCAATGGCTCTCTTGGTCATTACTTACAAGTGGGACTGTGTTTGAACCCGGGTTTCCTGCATGCCAAAAGGCTGTTAGCCCACTGAGCTAAAGGCATTAGCTCAGGGAGCTAATGCGGGTATTCAAAGCTCAGGCAAGGTTTGCCGAACCACCTCCTTTACATAAGCAGAAAGGCTTTTCTGTTAAGCCAAGCCACTCAAACTTCAGAGGACAAGTGTTGGAGAGATGCCCAGTAGGGGTTGCCAGGGGCAACAGGGTTCAGATGACCTCGGCCATCTTGTTGACCAGGTTTTACCATGAACAGTAGTTATTTTACCAGGAACAATGGTGGTACTGAGGCTTGATTAGAGCACAACAAGGCAGGGTAAGAATAAGAAGAGGCTTTCCAAGGAGAGATCTCACAGATGATATAACCAGTTATTATATCATAGAACAGAGCCCTGATTCTCTATAACACTGCCTCACCCAAGCCTTTAACCCAGTCATTCCCTCACACAAAAACTCACATTTTAATTGTTAAATCCACAAATCACATAACTTATAAAATAAAATAAAATATAAAATAAAAATAATTCACACACACACACGCACACACTATTGCAAAAATAATGCACACACATTTGCTAAATAATTCACACACATTTGCTAAATAACACACAGACACACACACACACACACACACACACCCCTCCCTCTGTTCTCCATCTCATCAGCAGCTGACAGACACATCCTGCTATCAGATCCTGGGAGAGCAGAGAGAGAGCGAGGCAGAGAGAGAGCGAGCGAGGCAGAGTGGCGGAGGGAGAGAGAGTGAGGCGGAGGGAGAGAGCGCGTGAGGCAGAGAGGTGGAGGGAGAGAGAGCGCGAGGCAGAGGGAGAGAGCACGAGGCAGAGCAGAGAGCGTGCGAGGCAGAGAGGCGGAGGGAGAGAGAGCGAGGCAGAGCAGAGAGCGAGGCAGAGCAGAGAGCGAGCGAGGTAGGCAGAGCAGAGAGAGAGAGAGCGAGGCAGAGCAGAGAGCGAGCGAGGCAGAGCAGAGAGCGAGCGAGGCAGAGCAGAGAGCGAGCGAGGCAGAGCAGAGAGCGAGCGAGGCAGAGCAGAGAGCGAGCGAGGCAGAGAGGCGGTGGGAGAGAGAGAGAGGCAGAGAGGCAGAGGGAGAGAGGCAGAGAGCGAGCGAGGCAGAGCAGAGCAGAGAGCGAGCGAGGCATTGAGGCGGCGGGAGAGAGAGAGAGGCAGAGAGGCGGCGGGAGAGAGAGAGGCAGAGCAGAGAGCGAGAGAGGCAGAGAGGCGGCGGGAGAGAGAGAGAGGCAGAGCAGAGAGCGAGCGAGGCAGAGAGGCGGAGGGAGAGGCAGAGCAGAGAGCGAGCGAGGCAGAGGGCGAGAGAGGGAGGGCGAGAGAGGGAGAGGGAGACTGAAAGGGAACAAAGAGAGAAAGCAGAGAGAGAGGGAGCAGTGAGAAAGGGAAAAGGAGAAGCAAGCGGCAGTTCCTTCTCTTCGTCACAGTTTTTTCCTCTGTGAAGACCGGCCACTCGGCCGCACGCTACGTTTAACACACTCCCTCAGGTACACGCTCGATAACTCGCTGCACCGGATTACTCACAGCACCCCTAGGTTTTATTAACTGCTATTATTATCAGACATTTCCAACACCTCATATTCCCCTGATGAATGGACTGCCTTATCATTACTCAAGGTTCAGGCTGCTGGGGTATTTCATTCTGCTGTGATGGATGCGTGGAGGTTGATAATGGTTTTAGGTATTGCGACCTGAAGACGTACATGGCTGGGTCTTAATGTTGTGTGTGTCTGCAGAGGGTTGAGAGTCTGGTCTAGCCTGCTGAGCATACAACACACATGAACGTGCTCACTGCACACATGCACACACACACCTCTCAGCCTAATGTCTGTGTCTAAATGTTGTGTGTGTGTGTGTGTGTGTGTGTGTGTGTGTGTCTGCAGACGGTTCAGAACATGGTGGTCCCTGTAGAGGGTCCAGCTGCAGCAGGGAGAGAAGTCCTGGAGTTTTACAACCCTGACATCACCCCAGTATCATGGATATCAAGGAGTACTATAGCCAGCTGGCTGAGAGCCTCCAGGTACGGATTCTGGAGAACACACACACGCATGCACGAACAGTGTCATTATGTAAACATACCTGCACACACACAGAACACACACACCCTTCAACATAACTCCAGATCCCCCCCCCCCCCCCCCCCCCCAATCCTGCTACACACCTCTCCCCCACTCCACCTCCCTCTCCCACCCCCTCTTTCTTCCACAAACCGCCTGGCCCGTCCAGGCATAACTCTGAGCCTTCACACATCTCAGAGGGATGGGCCAGCATGTTTTCTTTTCCTCCTGACATCACACTTGAGACGAACCTGAGAATCAGAGCTGCTGCCACACACCAGAACAGACCCACTTTGTCCCACTGTGTGTTTGTGTGTGTCAGAAAGAGAGTGTGTATGTGTTACAAGCTAGAGGTGCTCTGCTGGGGTCAACCTGGCTCTCCGGTGGGTCTGACCCTCCCCCAGGTTCCCGGGTCGGGATGTCCGTAATCAGACCTCTGGGCTGCTTCCTAGGTGGCATGGGGGTGTGTGTGGAGGCTTTGGCCCAAATTGACAGCAGCTCTTGCGGTAACCCAAACAATTACACTCTCCCTCCCACTTCATCCTATCTCCTCCCCTCCTCCTCCTTCCCTCGTTCATTGCCAGCTGGACAGCTTGCTGGCCTCCATTAGTGTCTCAGAAGGTGCAATTGTCTCCATCCCCAAATTATTGCCATTTGGGATTGAAGTGAGATTGCTGGCTGACTCTGGTACCTCGTTGCCACTCATTTGTTCCTCTCCATCAGGACTGCGTCCCAAATGGCACCCCATTCCCTTTATGGTGCATTACTTTTGACCAGGGCCTATAGGGTGACATTTGGGACGCACCCCAGGAATGCGGTTAGGATGAGGGGAGGGTTTAAGATTGGTCTCAGCAGGTATGAAGCTAAGGCATGGACTGATTATTCTCCCTGTCTGGGTGTACAAAGTACAGGACACTGATTATTCTCCCTGTCTGGGTGTACAAAGTACAGGACACTGATTATTCTCCCTGTCTGGGTGTACAAAGTACAGGACACTGATTATTCTCCCTGTCTGGGTGTACAAAGTACAGGACACTGATTATTCTCCCTGTCTGGGTGTACAAAGTACAGGACACTGATTATTCTCCCTGTCTGGGTGTACAAAGTACAGAACACTGATTATTCTCCCTGTCTGGGTGTACAAAGTACAGGACACTGATTATTCTCCCTGTCTGGGTGTACAAAGTACAGGACACTGATTATTGGAAGGGTATTTACATAAGGACTTCTTTGCACATGAATAACCCATGCATACTGCTTTTCTAAACAACAACTGGAAGACAATGGAAATATCAACTTGTGGTTGTTGTACTGCTTATGAATATGTACAGCCTAAAATAATGTGGCCCGCCTATTTATGAGACACAGTAATTTATGAGACACACTCATGGATTGTCATACAGTAAATGAATGGTAGTGACTATGTTGATATGTTTCCAGTGTGAGTGCAGGGAAACTGGTGCGGTTGTAGCTGGAAAGGAGCTGGAAAGGAGCTGGAAAGGAACTGGCGGTGGCCAGAGCTGCGGGGGTCACAGCCGCTGTCTTTCTTTATTTCTTTCTAGTTTATTTTTCTCCTGTAAACTTTCCTTCCATGAAATTCACTCTTTTCAGACGTCTAATCAGAAAAGCCCACCATTAGTTCAGCATCAAACATTAGCCACTAAATCAAGAGGAATGGTAGAAAATGAATGTCTTCTTCCCACAGACAGTAAAGTTTAGGGAGGGAAAGGCAGTTCACTCCTTATGAGTTCTCCCTGAGTGACAGTGAATGAATAAAGCGAGCGAGTTCCCCGCCGACAAAAGTGTTTACTCTTCGAGACTTCAACTGGGAGATGAGAGGAGTTCTGCACTGTCTCAAGGCGGATTTTTCTCTCTCTCTCTCTCTCTCTCTCTCTCTCTCTCTCTCTCTCTCTCTCTCACCCTTCCATTATTAAACATACGTTTTACAATTCTCTCTCTCTTTCTCCCTGTCTCTTTCTTCTTCATCATCAACTTCTGAAACTTCTCACATTCCTCCTCCGTGTCTCCGGAGACTTCAACCCCAGACTGTAGAATAGAAATAGACCGTCATCTGTCACATCTAGCACCTCCACCCCCTTCTCATAGAGAAACAGAAACACACAACAGAGAGGCTTCATTGAGAAAATTGTAGAATATCTCTGTACAGTCATTCAAGAATTAGTCTCGAACCACCCCAAAACTCAACGACTCACTCAGTATTTCACAAGTCATTGAATTACTCAATGACTAAGTTTACAGTATTTAAGGAAATTGTGGGATTTTCCATTATAGTCCATCAATCAAGAATTAAACCCTCCGCAAACCACTTAATAGAATCAGTCAATTACTTAAGTCTACAGTAACTTACTACACCGCTCGCCCCTCTGTAATCATCAGTGGTCGAACTGCAGCAGACACCTCCCCATTTATTATTTATTTAATTGTATTTATTTTACCCTTATTTTACCAGGTAAGTTGACTGAGAACACATTCTCATTTACAGCAATGACCTGGGGAATAGTTACAGGGGAGAGGAAGGGATGAATGAGCCAGCTGGAAGCTGGGGATGACAAACATGGCGGTTTGGTTCCCGTTACTGTGGTTGTGGTTATAGTCCCAGCTCTTTAAATAAACAGGCCCCCTCGGTAACCGCAGTCGCACTCTCATAACACCGTCTCCTCTTCCCTAATGTGCAGCACGCGAGCCCACGCTCTACCCAGCCTGGGCCTAGTCTGATGGACAGATCCCTCCATCCCTCTTTCTCCTTCCCCTCATCTCTCTCTCACCGGCTGTGATGGATGTCCCAGGTCTGGTTTCTCACCGAGACACAACTTGGCCAAACAAACCAGCTTGCGGTGAAGTCAGTCAGGCTCAGCTTAGAGATGTGTTTAATAGAGTAGAACAGGCAGTGATGGGGATGACACACACCCCTGCCTGCACACACAGGGCATTCAGCCAGGGCTCACTTATCATACCAGACAGAGAGAGAAAGCAGAGGGAGAGAAAAGCAAGGTTGGGATCTCATCATCAGCCCTATGTTAGTTCTGGGACTGACTGGGGTTTCCTTCCAAATGGCACCCTATTTCCTATATAGTACACTACTTTTGACCAGAGCCCAGATCTAGTGCACTATAATAGGGAATAGGGTGCCATTCTGAACGCAGCCTGGAGCTCCTGTGATCTACCTGAAAGAGAAGCAGACGGCCTGGACCCTCATCATCCGTCTTTGACAGCTAATTGTTGAACTTCTCTGATTGCTGTAATTACTCACAGCAGGGCGCCGGGTGTGCGTGTATGTGCGCGTGCGTGCATGTGCGCGTGTGTGCGTGCATGCCTTGTTTGGAAGAGAGTGTTCAGTTTGAGGTTTTAATGTGCTGTTTGGAATGAAATTGGCAGATCCATTTTCTCTAGAGATGAACTACAATGAGTGTGCCAAGTCACGCATCTCGAACATGAATGTGGATCAATGAAGTTTATACCAATGCACATTATTACGATGTTACCTCCGACCATGAACCTGAATATCTGGTTTTGGGTGCTTGCGTGTGTGTGTAGATTGCAGAGCATGAGAAGGAGCTTGCAGAGCTGGAGAGGTGTGGTGAGGAGCTGGAAAGGTGTGGTGAGGAGCTGGAGAGGTGTGGTGAGGAGCTGGAGAGGTGTGGTGAGGAGCTGGAGAGGTGTGGTGAGGAGCTGGAGAGGTGTGGTGAGGAGATGGAGAGGTGTGGTGAGGAGCTGGAGAGGTGTGGTGAGGAGATGGAGAGGTGTGGTGAGGAGCTGGAGACGTGTGGTGAGGAGCTGGAGAGGTGTGGTGAGGAGATGGAGAGGTGTGGTGAGGAGCTGGAGAGGTGTGGTGAGGAGATGGAGAGGTGTGGTGAGGAGATGGAGAGGTGGTGAGGAGCTGGAAGATGAGATTGAGATGAAGAAAGAAGCATATGTGGAGGAGATCGCTGATCTGGAGGTAAGAGAGATCTAGGAACAGTTTACCCTACCATCATCCCTAACCACAGATCTAGGAACAGTTTACCCTACCCTCATTCCAAACCACAGATCTAGGAACAAGTTATTCTACCCTCATCCTAACCACAGATCTAGGAACAGTTTAAACTACCCTTAATCCTAACCACAGATCTAGGAACAGTTTAAACTACCCTTAATCCTAACCACAGATCTAGGAACAGTTTAAACTACCCTCAATCCTAACCACAGATCTAGGAACAGTTTAAACTACCCTTAATCCTAACCACAGATCTAGGAACAGTTTAAACTACCCTTAATCCTAACCACAGATCTAGGAACAGTTTAAACTACCCTCAATCCTAACCACAGATCTAGGAACAAGTTATTCTACCCTCAAACCTAACCACAGATCTAGGAACAGTTTACCCTTCCCTATCCTCAAGTCTAAGAGTAGAAAGTTAGAAAATATCAGACCTTAGACTAGTGGTTAGGGTCAGCTTCTACCTCCATCCATCCATCCCATATATCCAATGGCTCTATTCCAATAACTTCTACCTCCATCCACCCATCCCATATACCCAATGGCTCTATTCTAATAACCACACTAGCATACCAATTAGAATGTGTCCAATACATAGATACATGGCTTTATAATAAGTGGTAGGATGGAAGTGGTTATTAGAACATGGCCCATTATCTCTCTGTTTCTTCTCAGTGTCGTATTGAGGAGATGAAGGAGCAGCAGCATGACCTGCAGGTCCAGATGAGGGAGCAGTGTGGGGACTACGAGGAGCTGCTGGGTCAGAAGATGGCCCGGGACATCGAGATCACTGTCTAACGGGGAGACTTTTCACTGATACATTTCACCCACAGGGCCTCATGCACAGCAATAGTGTACAGTGTGATCATCAAGGCCTCTGTAGTAGTGAAAAAGATGGAGAGGCCCTGCAGCATTTACTAATGGGCTTGTTCAGGAAAGAAAATTAAGTACCCAAAACACATGACACTTGGAGAGACAATGACTATCCTTAATATAATATTCAATACAGAGGTTTCTGTAGTTTTACAATGACAATAGTATCTTCAGATGACGTGATGTTAGCCTAATATTTTTGATTTTCTTCACAATATTTGTGTAGCCCTACATTGTGAACATGTGAGTAGTATGTGTGACATAATGTCACCTGGGCATCCTCATATCCATAATATCCATATTAAGACATTCCTGAGAACAAAGGTCTGACATCCTAGGTCAAAAGGTCTGACATCCGAGGTCATCCGGGGTCACTGGAAACAGGCCCTACGACAGTCCCAGAAAACATGATGCAATTTCCTGTCCGGTATCCTTGAAGATGTTTTCGTGTTTCTGTCTTGCCGCCCTCCTGTTTTGTGTGTTTGTGTCTGCCTGTGTGTCTGTCTGTCTGTGTGTGTGTCTGTCTGTGTGTCTGCCTGTGTGTGTCTGTCTGTGTGTCTGCCTGTGCTTCTGTCTGTGTATGTGTCTGTGTGTGTGTCTGTGTGTGTGTCTGTGTGTGTGTGTGTCTGTGTGTGTGTCTGTCTGTGTATCTGTCTGTGTATCTGTCTGTGTGTCTACCTGTGTGTCTGCCTGTGTGTCTGTCTGTCTGTCTGTCTGTGTGTCTGTCTGTGTGTCTGTCTGTCTGTGTGTCTGCCTGTCTGTGTGTCTGTCTGTGTGTCTGCCTGTGTGTCTGCCTGTGTGTCTGCCTGTGCTTCTGTCTGTGTGTGTGTCTGTGTGTGTGTCTGTGTGTGTGTCTGTCTGTGTGTCTGTGTGTGTGTCTGTCTGTGTACAGTGGGGGAAAAAAGTATTTAGTCAGCCACCAATTGTGCAAGTTCTCCCACTTAAAAAGATGAGAGAGGCCTGTAATTTTAATCATAGATACACGTCAACTATGACAGACAAAATGAGGAAAAAAAATCCAGAAAATCACATTGTAGGATTTTTTATGAATTTATTTGCAAATTATGGTGGAAAATAAGTATTTGGTCAATAACAAAGTTTTCTCAATACTTTGTTATATACCCTTTGTTGGCAATGACACAGGTCAAACGTTTTCTGTAAGTCTTCACAAGGTTTTCACACACTGTTGCTGGTATTTTGGCCCATTCCTCCAAGGCAGATCTCCTCTAGAGCAGTGAGGTTTTGGGGCTGTCGCTGGGCAACACGGACTTTCAACTCCCTCCAAAGATTTTCTATGGGGTTGAGATCTGGAGACTGGCTAGGCCACTCCAGGACCTTGAAATGCTTCTTACGAAACCACTCCTTCGTTGCCCGGGCGGTGTGTTTGGGATCATTGTCATGCTGAAAGACCCAGCCACGTTTCATCTGCAATGCCCTTGCTGATGGAAGGAGGTTTTCACTCAAAATCTCACAATACATGGCCCCATTCATTATTTCCTTTACACGGATCAGTCGTCCTGGTCCCTTTGCAGAAAAACAGCCCCAAAGCATGATGTTTCCACCCCCATGCTTCACAGTAGGTATGGTGTTATTTGGATGCAACTCAGCATTCTTTGTCCTCCAAACACAACGAGTTTTATTTTGGTTTCATCTGACCATATGACATTCTCCCAATCCTCTTCTGGATCATCCAAATGCACTCTAGCAAACTTCAGACGGGCCTGGACATGTACTGGCTTAAGCAGGGGGACACGTCCGGTACTGCAGGATTTGAGTCCCTGGCGGCGTAGTGTGTTACTGATGGTAGGCTTTGTTACTTTGGTCCCCCCGTGTGGTTCTGGGATTTTTGCTCACCGTTCTTGTGATCATTTTGACCCCACGGGGTGAGATCTTGCGTGGAGCCCCAGATCGAGGGAGATTATCAGTGGTCTTGTATGTCTTCCATTTCCTAATAATTGCTCCCACAGTTGATTTCTTCAAACCAAGCTGCTTACCTATTGCAGATTCAGTCTTCCCAGCCTGGTGCAGGTCTACAATTTTGTTTCTGGTGTCCTTTGACAGCTCTTTGGTCTTGGCCATAGTGGAGTTTGGAGTCTGACTGTTTGAGGTTGTGGACAGGTGTCTTTTATACTGATAACAAGTTCAAACAGGTGCCATTAATACAGGTAACGAGTGGAGGACAGAGGAGCCTCTTAAAGAAGAAGTTACAGGTCTGTGAGAGCCAGAAATCTTGCTTGTTTGTAGGTGACCAAATACTTATTTTCCACCATAATTTGCAAATAAATTCATTAAAAATCCTACAATGTGATTTTCTGGATTTTTTTTCTCAATTTGTCTGTCATAGTTGACGTGTACCTATTATGAAAATTACAGGCCTCTCTCATCTTTTTAAGTGGGAGAACTTGCACAATGGGTGGCTGACTAAATACTTTTCCCCCCCACTGTATCTGTCTGTGTGTCTGCCTGTGTGTCTGCCTGTGTGTTTGTGTGTCTGCCTGTGTGTTTGTTTGTGTGTGTGTGTGTGTCTGCCTGTGTGTGTGTGTGTGTGTGTGTGTGCCTGTGTGTGCCTGTGTGTGCCTGTGTGTGTGTGTGTGTGTGTGTGCTCAACCATCTGCCATCCTGGTATGTAGAAGGATGCACTTTGCCCTTCCCGACCCTTTGGACAACCCTTCGCTCACCCCTCTGCCGCTTCGAACACATCCTCGTGGCTCGGGAAGAGGCAGCATCACACAATGCCTCATTAGAATGGACAGGGGGACCTCACACTGTCAGGACAATTGTCAAGCCACTTTATCATCCAGCCTGTTAATGTCAGCAGCCCCGCAACACAGTCAGCCTCACAACTGTAGCCTCCTTTAAACACTGGTCCCCCAACAGATTGTTCCAAAGACACACACACACACACAGACTCAAGGCACAGACACACCAACATTTTCATTAACACACACATACACGCACACACACACAAAAACTTAGTCATGGCGCAGGCAGACAGTCTGGGGGCGAAGTTGCCTAACTTTTTTACATGGCTGTTTTGTCATCCGTAACTAAAACCATGAATAAGAAATGAACATCTGAGATGTTTGCTCTTCTCCGTGCTACAGAACAGAGTCTAATTACATTAGTGTCACCTGTAAAATGTATAGAGTCTAATGACAGTAGTGTCACCTGTAAAATGTACACTGAGACATTTGGACCAGGGCCCAGATTCACAAAACCTTCTTAAGAAGAAATGTCTTCTTAACTGAGATTTTTTCCTTAAGTATAGACTTGATGAAGAAATTTAAGCAAAGTTGCTGGCACCCTATTGTATTGCGCTACTTCTATGTATTGCACTAATTTGACCAGGGCCCATAGGGCTCTAGTCAAAGTAGTGCACTATATAGGGAATAGGGTGCCATTTGGGACACAGCCTCTAATTAAATTTTATCTGATTGAATTCAAGTGCGGAGCAAAATCTTTCCTCAATTTCATTAGAAAGTAATGTCCGTAACTCCGATAGGTATGCTTCCATAATGGTTTATTTAGAAGTACACAAAGCAGACAATGTTTCTATGGAGGCTAGCCATGTTTCTATGGAGGCTAGCCATGTCAGGTCTGAAGTGTAGAACACTGGCTGTACTGTGTGTATGTATTCAGCAGACAATCTTCCAGTTGTCTTCCTCTTCCTCTCTTCTATTCCCAGGGGTTTGGTGGAAGAGGAGGATGAGAGGCTGTGCTACCTGTGAGAGGAACCGATGCAGACCAGACCAGGCCAAACAACCGGCTTTCGGCGATGGATGTCCCCCATACGGATTTGACGTGATGCCAAAACACAACAGACCTAAATCATCTATTAGAGATCCCATGAAGCTAACCGCCACTGCCAGACAATCATTTGAGCAGATGTAAATGTATCATGACAGATTAACAACTTCTGGAGGGCGAGCCAGGCCATTGATAACAGGTCACTGGCAGGTGACCCCTGTCCTATAAGAAAGATGGAATTGTCTAACATTGGGGAGTCTCTTCAGTGTCTGTGAAGAGACTCTGAAATGTCCCTAAGTGGTCTCTATCTGTTGTGGCTAGAGTGTCTGGAGGTAACTCACTGATATGACACACACACACACACACACACACACACACACACACACACACACACAGACACACACACACAGACAGACAGACACACTCTCTAGACCACCTCAGTGTGTGGCTGCTCTGTAGAATCATTTACCTCCCAATACCCATCACACCTCACTCCAACACCAGCTCTTATACCTTACCTATCCACTGTTCACAAGCCATTGGACAGCTCTCACTATCCAATAAGATAGCCTTAACCGGTCATGGCAGGTCACCTTTCATTTGCTTTACAGCTGTGGGTTTTACACAGAACTGGCAGTCACACTGTTCATGTATACTTGGGAACTGGTATATTAGCTTTGCAAATGGTTGGTGAAGTTGACATTCTGCAGCTCCTATGTACCTGGTTGGCTACAACAGGGAGCTTGTGTGCAGTCTCTGACTTATTTGCTCATTCTCTGCCCATGACCTGGAGGAACTTAGTCAAGTTTAAACCATAACAATAAAAAGAAATGTTGCTTCACATCAGCTTCCTGTCTGTTTCACTCTCCGTGAACACAGTGCCAACAGTGTCTGTGGAATGGGAGTGTGTTCGGTGTGTGTCATTTCCCACACTTAAGTGCCTCTCCTCGCCATCATAACTACATTTAACAGAGGAAGAGTTATGCCCAGTGATCCCTGGCCCATTTTTCTTCATGCTTAACCTCACATGTGAACGTTCTCTGCTCGGCCATAAAGATAAAAAACACAGCAAAAAATTGATCAGATAAGATTAGCCACAGCCACTGATCTCCTGGTGAATTTAATCACACACACACACACACACACACACACACACACACACACACACACACACACACACACACACACACACACACACACACACACAAGGAGAAGGTGTAGGAGAAGGCTGCAGCTGCCAGGGTGACTTGTTTAATTGTGTGGACATGAAACATGGCGAGCAGGGAGGAAGCCCGCCCCAGGGTCTGTGGGGCCTTTATTTTCTCAAGGCTGCAGTGCTCAATCTTGTCCTCTGCCTCCGAGGACCTACAAGACTTATATCCCTCCAAGCCTCCTACCATCCCTGTGTGACGGCCAACCACCCATCTCCTCTACCACATGGGACTGTTGAAATGGAGTTGAAGAAGAGAATATGCGCTACAAGACATGTACTGTATGGCCTCTCTCTCCCTCGATCCTTCACACTAATTCTGTCTTTTGAGGGGAAATATTGAGAAATATTCTTACACAGTATAAATATAATACACGCACAAACACAACTTTTTAAATTTTCCAAATACAAGACAGCTTGGCAAGATGTTTATTAATTCCATTCTTATTCCATTCAAATTGGCTTCAGCAAGGTACACTAAGAACAAGCCTTTATTTGATCTACCAGACCAGAGGTATGACACTGGTAACTTTCCCAGGGGACATTATTATTTTGATTCAGCAGAAATTATCTTTAGTGGGCTGGGTCAATCCGGTCACTTTAGGGGTTATTTTCTGTCTCAATGATTGAATTACTGTAGTAACAATTGGATGATTAATTATCACTATGCTGGTGTATTATTTCTAACATCAATGCAAATCGGTATCCGTCTTTTTGAATTTAGCAGAGCTGGTATAAAATAATATAACCCAACGTAGCAGGCATAAAAGAAACACCTGAAACTAGATCCCCTACATACTGGTCTGAAACTAGATCCCCTACATACTGGTCTGAAACTAGATCCCCTACATACTGGTCTGAAACTAGATCCCCTACATACTGGTCTGAAACTAGATCCCCTACATACTGGTCTGAAACTAGATTCCCCACATACTGGTCTTGACGAGAAGAAGAAAAACTGTCGGGGGAGGATCTCTTCTGCACTGTTCAACCTATCCGGTAAATGTGGAGGAGGAGTTAAGATGGAGTGTCGCCTTGTTAACAGTTCAGTGCTATTCTGGAGTGGCTTCGGGACAAGTCTCTGAATGTCTTTGAGTGGCCCAGCCAGAGCCCGGACTTGAACCCGATCGACCATCTCTTGAGAGACCTGAAAATAGCTGTGCAGCAACGCTCCCCATCCAACCTGACAGAGCTTGAGAGGATCTGCAGAGAGGAATGGGAGAAACTGCCCAAATACAGGTGTGCCAAGCTTGTAGCGTCATACCCAAGAAGACTTGAGGCTGTAATCGCTGCCAAAGGTGCTTCAACAAAGTACTGAGTAAAGGGTCTGAATACTTATGTAAATGTCATATTTACATTTTTTAATTAGCAAACATTTCTAAAAACCTGTCTTTGCTTTGTCATTATGGGGTATTGTGTGTTAAAAAACAATTTAATCAATTTTAGAATAAGGCTGTAACTTAACAAAATGTGGAAAAAGTAAACGGGTCTGAATATTTCCGTATGCACTGTACACCCCCCGGAAGAATATGACACTTTAAAAACATTTTCTGACAAGCGACCACTTAGATATGGTGATTTTCACGTTTTCATAAATTCTTAGAATGTTTGGGAATTATGTATACTAAGCATTTGTGAAAATTCTATAGGAATATAGAGTGGGAAAGCGGCCCTGCGTTTGGACAATTAATAGACACTGCAGTAAATAAAACCGAATAAAAACATCTGTCTTGTCCAGGACCGGAGTCTACACAGACTGGTGGGCTATAGCCAATCAGAGCTATAGTAGACCTTTATACAAACAAGCCATTTGCCACACGGGCCTGCCATCATTCACTTTGAACTGGACTGTGTGTTTACAGGCAGTTGCAACAGCGTGACTTTAGATCATTAGAACGGATTCGCCAAAAGCCACAAAATACACCTGAATGGATTTCTGCAAATATTGTATGTAAACACCACGGGAGTCCTCTTACATTTTTGGGAACTTTACAGTCCTATTGATCAAACAACCATGAAAAAGGTAGGCTCTCTCTCCCTCAGTTATGCACATCAACAACAACAAGATCAACAACTAATGCTAGCCAGAGCAAGATGAGATCAAATCTAGTGAAGGAACATTAGATAAACCCTCTCAAACTTTTTCAGCTAGTTGGCCATCAAAATTGCACTGATAAACGATATGGAATTGTAGCCTCCTCATCCTTCTGCAGCTTGCCTGCCAATGCATGCTTGTCTCAACCAAGCACCCAAGCTAACTGGCTAAAGTTGGCTAGCTTGCTAGCTAGTTACTTCCAGACACAAATTTACCTCATATCAGTCTCATTCTGAAAGTCATAGACCCTTTAAGTCTACACGAACCCGGGTCTTACTGATCATTCCGTATCACACAAATTGATGTAATTATTTATTTACTAAATAATTAAAAATGATAACACAAGATACAAACATGTACACGGTATAGGTAGGGATTAGAAACGAAATACAATGAAAACGGGTCCCTAGCGGACTAACACAATATGGCACTTGTTACAAAAGATGGCGAGTTAAAGAGAGAGAGAGAGAGAGAGAGAGAGAGATGGACCTATGCTCACAGTAATCCTAATACCTTGCCCCGAACTGCCGCAAACGAGGGTCTGGTTGTTGTCGGCCATTTGCCAAGCTGATGTGACAACTTTGATCCTCACCCACTCCTCCAATGGCATGACATGACATCCTCCTATCTAGCTAATGTTAGGCTCCGTGTTTTTTGATTGCTTCATAAATAGATAAGTTAACCTATTAGCTGTGCTATGATTGACTTGTAATCATTGCCCATGCTAGTTTGATTGTATTGACATTTCCAGGAATATTTTTTAGACTACCAAGAAATGTATTGGTGAATTATATTAATCATGTATTGAACTGCATCCATCTATTCCGCCAACAATGCCTTAATGTATGTCATGGAACATTGAGTCAAATATAACCTATTTTTAAAACCTTTTATAAAGGAATTTTATATTTTTTACTGATATTATGATTGTCTGTTTCCTATCTACAAAGTAGTTAAAATGCTGTCAGTTCCACTTTAAACTTTAGGTCACTGGTTACTTTGTGAGCTAAACATGAAATGTTTAGTTGTACATTTCGATTGGGAAATGCTTAATGGTTGTGTTTCTGTGTTCTTATGATTGGGACCTACTGGCTTATTATGTCAGAGTTTATGGACTGCTTATCCTTTAACATCATGCTGTGTGTGACTGCTGTCTTTCCATCGGTCCTATGCAGTGGTGAAGTCTAGTTCCCAAACGGCCCGGCCAGCAAAGGAATGTCACTTAGTGAAAAATCCTATGTTTTCCTAGAGATTTTTCAGATTTCCACTCTCAAAATCACACTTTTTTTAAATAGAAAAAAGGCTAACATTTGATGGTCTAAGTCCACAAAAATGCTTAAACCACATCAATCTGATTGGGTGGGCCTGTCAGGGCCTGGCTCCCCAGTGGGGGGCCTGTGTCCACGTAGGGCCATCCATGTATATGCCTCTGATGCAAACAACTCATGATGACAATTGCGCATCACAAATAGCCTACTAACCAACACTTCGGACTAAACTTTTTCAATACCTGGTTTGCATACTCATTGTTGCCTTAGTTAGCATTTACTGGTAGATATCATACATTGAAATGTCTTTACTACCCTACCGGCTACTGATGGCATTCTTCTGTAAGCTGCTCCATGCCAAAACCAGTTGAGAGCTTCATACTCTTGTTGTGACGTGACTTACTTTAATGTGTGACTGTTATTTATCGAATCACCTAACTATGTTTAATTGTCACTTGATTAAATTAATCGTGTAACAATTAACTCATTAGGAATTTGGGGCACCACGGAAGAAGTTGTTTAACAAGTTACCATCTCCCGAATTAAACTCTTAGAAGATATGTTATATATC